CAGCAGCAGCAGCGACGAGACGCGCCGGGCAGCGCTCGCGGCGGCAGCATCAGCGGCGCCGCTTGCCGAGCCGCCGAGCGGCCGCCGGCAGCGCCGATCGCCTAGAGCGGCGGCAGCAGCAGCAGCACCCAGCGCCGCCGCGCTCCCTCCGCGGTGGTCGCCGAGGGGGGCAGCCCCGCAGCGCTGCCGCGGCTCGGCCGGGCCGCGGCGCGGAGCTCGCCCGCCGCGGGGCCGGCGATGGCGAGCGCCTCCGTGCTGGGGCTGCCGCCCGCCGCGAGCCCCCCCGCCGGCCCCAACCTCAACAACAACAACAACAACAACCAGGGCGTGCGCAAGTGCGGCTACCTGCGCAAGCAGAAGCACGGACACAAGCGCTTCTTCGTGCTGCGCGGCCCCGGCGGCGGCGGCGAGGAGGCGGCGGGCGCGCGGCTCGAGTACTACGAGAGCGAGAAGAAATGGAGGAACAAGTCCGGGGCGCCCAAGCGGGTCATCGCCCTCGACTCGTGCCTCAACATCAACAAGCGGGCGGACGCCAAGCACAAGTACCTGATCGCCCTCTACACCAAGGACGAGTACTTCGCCGTGGCGGCCGAGAACGAGCAGGAGCAGGAGGGCTGGTACCGCGCCCTCACCGACCTGCTCAACGAGGGCAAGGCGGCGTGCCAGGGCTCCCCGCACCGCCACCTCTCCTCGCCCTTCGCCGCCTCCTGCAGCGCCGCCTCGCTGGCCGCCGCCGCCGGCGAGGACYTCAACTACGGGCTCGTCACGCCGGCCGCCGCCGCCTACCGGGAGGTCTGGCAGGTGACGCTCAAGCCCAAGGGCCTGGGGCAGAGTAAGAACCTCACGGGCGTGCACCGGCTCTGCCTCTCGGCGCGCACCATCGGCTTCGTGCGCCTCAACTGCGAGCTGCCCTCCGTCACGCTGCAGCTCATGAACATCCGCCGCTGCGGCCACTCCGACAGCTTCTTCTTCATGGAGGTGGGGCGCTCGGCGGCCACGGGCCCCGGCGAGCTCTGGATGCAGGCGGACGACTCCGTGGTGGCGCAGAACATCCACGAGACCATCCTGGAGGCCATGAAGGCGCTCAAGGAGCTCTCCGAGTTCCGCCCGCGCAGCAAGAGCCAGTCCTCCTCGTCCTCCTCGTCGGGGGGCGCCGCGGGGCCCGGCGGCGCCTCGGCCACGCACCCCATCACGGTGCCGGGCCGCCGCCACCACCACCACCACCACCACCTGGTGAACCTGCCGCCCAGCCAGACGGGGCTGCTGCGCCGCTCGCGCACCGAGAGCCTGGCGGCGGGCAAGGGCTCGGCGGGCCGGGTGCGCACGGCCAGCGAGGGCGACGGCTGCCGCCTCGGCTCGGCCGCGGGCAGCCCCATGAGCCCCGGCCCGGTGCGCACGGCGCTCAGCCGCTCGCACACGCTCAGCGGCGGCGGGGGCAGGACGGCGGCCAAGCTGCTGCCGGCGCTGGCCGCGGGCGGCGCGCCTGGCAGCCGCTCCATGTCCATGCCCGCCGCGCACTCGCCGCCCTCCGCCACCAGCCCCCTCAGCCTGTCGTCCAGCAGCGGCCTCGGCTCCGAGCCGGCGCCGCTGCACCAGCCGCAGCGCCCGTCGAGCGGCAGCGCCTCCGTGTCGGGCTCGCCCAGCGACGCGGGCTTCATGTCCTTCGACGAGTACGGCTCGAGCCCCGGCGGCGACCTGCGGCCCTTCTCCTCCTCCTCCACGGCCAGCAACCGCAGCAACACCCCCGAGTCGGTGGCCGAGACCCCCCCGGTGCGGGAGCCCGGCGGCGCCACCGACCTCTACGGCTACATGGCCATGGAGCGGCCGCCGAGCGGCCGCCTCTGCTACCGGCCGTGCCCCGAGGCGGCCGACAAGGGCCCCCGCAAGCGGACCTACTCGCTGACCACGCCGTGCCGGCAGCGGCCCGCGCCGCCGCCGCTCTCCTCCGCCTCGCTCGACGAGTACACGCTCATGCGGGCCTCCTTCGCCGGCAGCGCCGGCCGCCTCTTCCCGCCCTGCGCGGCGGGCGCCTCCCCCAAAGTCACCTACACCCCCTACCCCGAGGACTACGGGGACATCGAGATCGGCTCCCAGCGCAGCTCCGGCAGCAGCAGCACCAACCTGGCGCCGCTGCCGGCCGCGGGAGGAGGAGGAGGAGTGGGGGGAGAAGACGATGGCTACATGCCCATGACCCCCGGCGTGGCCGCGGCCCTGGGGCAGGGCGGCCGGGGCGGCCACGACTACATGCCCATGAGCCCCACCAGCGTGTCGGCCCCCAAGCAGATCCTGCAGCCCCGCGCCGGGCTGGGTGGCGGCTCGCCCGGCAACGGGAGCAGCTACAAGACCAGCTCGCCCGGGGAGAGCTCCCCCGACGACAGCGGCTACATGAGGATGTGGTGCGGCTCCAAGCTCTCCGTGGAGAGCTCGGAYGGCCGGCTCAGCGGCGGCGACTACATCAACATGTCCCCGCGGGAGCCCCCGCACGGGCCCCACGCGCCCTCCCTCACTCCCCCCGACTTCTTTTTCGGCCCCTCGGGGCCCGGGGCCGCCGAGCCCGGCAAGCCCGGCTGCTACTCGTACAGCTCCTTACCGCGCTCCTACAAGAGCCAGGGCCCGGCCAAGGACAGCGACCAGTACGTGCTCATGAACTCCCCGGGCAGGACGATCCCCGAGGAGGCCCTGGCTCCCTGCAGCCACACGGTGCCTTCGCCCCTGCGGCACAGCCGCACCGAGAGCTTCCTGAGCCAGCGGGGCCCACGCCTCGCGCGGCCTAGCCGCCTCTCGCTGGACACCTCGCGCACGCCGCTGCCCAGCATGAGCGAGCACCCGCTGCCCGCCGAGCCCAAGAGCCCCGGCGAGTACATCAACATCGACTTCGGCGACGCCGCCGTCTACTCGCCGCCCTCGCTGCCCGCCGACAGCCCGGCCTCCTCGCTGGGCTCGGCCGCGGGGCAGCGGCGCTCGCCGCTCTCCGACTACATGAACATCGACTTCGGCTCGCGCTCGCCCTCGCGCTCGGGCACGGTCTCGGGGGGCTCCCTCGAGGCGCTCTCGCCGGGCTCGTCCTCCAGTGCCGGCCCGCCCGACGGGCGCTACCTGAAGTCTGCTGCGGGGGTGTCGTGCCTGTGCAGCCCGCCCGACGGCGGCGGCGATTACACCGACATGACCTTCGGCATGGCCACCACGCCGCCGCAGCCCATCGCGCAGAAGCCGGACGGCGCCCGCGTCACGAGCCCCACGGCGGGGGTGAAGAGGCTCACCCTCTCCGGGGTGGAGGCCTTCATCCTCTCCAGCCCTCCCCCCGACCCCAACCGGGGGGCCAAGGTGATCCGCGCGGACCCCCAGGGCCGGCGGAGACACAGCTCCGARACCTTCTCCTCCACCACCACTGTGACCCCCGTGTCCCCCTCGTTTGCACACAACCCCAAGCGGCACAACTCGGCCTCGGTGGAGAACGTGTCCCTCAGGAAAAGCGAAGGCCTGGAGGAGGAGCAGGGCAGCAGCCCCATGTGCCGCGAGACCTCGGCCGGCTTCCAGAACGGCCTCAACTACATCGCCATCGACGTGGTGGACGGCACCCTGGCCAGCTGTGACAAAGGCAGGTCGAAAGGCCGGCGCGTCCTCAACGGGGGCATCAACGGGCTGGAGGCCAGCGCCTACGCCAGCATAGACTTTCTGTCCCACAACCTGAAGGAAGCAAGTGCTGTGAAAGGTGAGTAGCTCCGTCCCACAGCCATGCGTTGTGTCGCTCCCTCCGGTGTTACCCATGTAGGGCGCCCCCCGACCCTGCCTAAGATTTCCCAAACARGTCCCCTAATAAATGGTCTTGGAGGATCCCTCTGTCTTCTTATGAGAGGAGGCTTAATTTGGGGCTGCTTCCTCATATTTAAGTTCTGCTGTTGGGCTGTTTTGAGTGTGGGCACCTGAGTACCCCCATAGAAGGTGATGCTGGCACAGCTACCGTGTTTGGGTGACTTGGGAGTTTTCTTCCGTGAGATTTTTGGGAAAGTGTTTGGAAAACGTGACCCACATGGTTTATATTAGTGCAGCATTCAAATAATACCTGAAACATAAAAATGATTGAGTTGAAGAGAGTGAGGGAGATCAGACAATAATAACAAAAACAACTAAAAGCCAACAGAAAACCARCAAAAACAACTTGGCTGCCTAGCTGGGAAGGCCAATTATAATGAAATGAGAAGGATTCATTTAATACCTTGATTTTGAAATAGCATATCCCTTGCGAAAGTTTAWCAGAAGATCATGGTGAGCATGGAATATGACATGTTTTATCTAAAAAAGAAAACGTCTGTGCAGAAGTCACGACCTGTTCCCCCCAGTTTTGCACATGTTCCTTCAGGGGCTGCCCCGTCGTGGTGAGTAACCGCGGTCCAGCTGGCAGCTCAGTCACGGTGTGAATGACCAGTTGCTTGGCTTGCTTTTAAATGGACTGCAAATGCTCAGCTTTGCACAGACAAAAGCAAACCCAAGAAACCCGCGACTTGGGCCGAGAGAGAATTTGTATTTTAATGGTGTAGCTGTTCCTTTGTTGAGGTGCTAGTTCGGGTGTTAAAGAAGAAAGGAGCCACCCCCCAAAACAGCAAGCCACCTCCCCCGAGAAAGTGAGGAGCTGCAGAGGAGCGCCAGCTGAGGAGGGCAGGGAGCAGGCAATCTGTCAGGGATTAAAAGTTAATGATGAGGCGCTGCGGGGATTCTCTCTGCTTTTGCATTTATGCAAGACCCGKTGCTTTAAGCCTGTGTGTAGAGAGAGCGGTAATATCTGTTTATAGGTGTAGCTAGCTGAAAGGGCACAGGGTTTAGAAGAAGGTGCTTGGAGGTGTTACAGGTATTGCTTCTGTACTCACAGTGCTGATAGGGACCTCAGTTAAAAGCAAAAAAAAAATGTCAGTTTATAAGAATTACTTACAGGGTCTTTTTTCTTTTTCTTTTTTTTTTTTTTCTTACTAGCTAGTTGATTTTGAAGAAGAAAATATTTTCTCTTTTGATAGGAAGTACAGGAAGATGGAAAAGATGAGAGCTCCACCGTTTGCAGAGCAAGCTTTGCGCCTTATTAAGACGAGAGGATTGTTGAATGAAATGTCAAAGCTKTAAAGGATGAACTCCTGCTCTGAATGACTTGGAGGGCTGAGGGCAGAGCCGGGTTTGTTAGTTGCTTTTAGCGCTGCTGAAATCAGATTCAGGGTTCGCATGGCTCGATCAAAAACCATGCGAATGCTGCGATTATTGGTTACTTTCGCCTTATGAAAGTCAAGCCTTGGAGTTCTGTTCCAGGACATCTAACAAACGATTCTGCACGTTTCTTTGCGAATTGWTTCTTTATTTTTCAGAATAAATGAGTTTTTCTTGAGCCACCTACAGCCCCAACTGCAGACCAAGCCCRTGTTGGGAAAGAGCTATTTCCACAACATTCTCCAAACTGCTGACCCTAAGGCAAAGGGGGGCAACAGGGGGAGGGGAGGCAGCTGCAGGGAAAACCTGGAGTGGATACGGGAGCTTCCAGCACCCAGGCCGAAGGCAGGGGGAATAAAGTAGTCAGTCGGAGGGGATGAGCAGGAGGAATTGACTCCCATCCTGCTAACGAGGTAAACAAGAGGGTAACGCAGTAGACACAGCGATGTTTGGTGCAKGGTGTACAGGGGAGAAGGCTTCATTCTACGGAATAATTGACAAAGTGTGGTTATAGACTTGCCTTGTTTTAATATTCAATCTCTGCGAATATTTATTCTCCCTCTTTCCCTAGGAAGCTTATACACGTAGACCACAAGCAGGAGTGTTCTGGGTAAACTCCTTAATCTCTACGTAGGAGGCCAAGCTGTGCTCCCCGCCACTCTGCTTCCCTGAAAAACGAGTAACCGCAGAGCTACAGCACAGAGGTAGAGCTGTTCTGCAGAGGTAGAGCTGTTCTGCTCAGGGTTTGCTGTAGCCAATATCAGGGCATGGCAGTAAGAGAAACACCTCGTACAGGCATCACCCAGCGGTGCTCTGGGCTGCGTTTTGGAAGCAGGGTTTCATGTTAACAACCACGGTGTTGGTGGCAGGCTCACCAGAAAGGGAACAGCACGGCAAAGCAGAAGTATAAATAATTCTGTTGGTGTAAGTAGAACCAAGCCTTTAACTTCTGCGAACAGCCAGGTTTCTGTTTTGGTTTTCATTAGGGTTTCGCACTGAAGTTCGTTTACTGAACTGAACTGCTGCCACTGTTAAAAGATCCCTCGGTTTTGTGCCAATGCATTTAAAGTCCAAAACCTGTAATTTGAGAGGTTACTAAGACTTTTGTRTCTTGCAAAGAAACACATATGCAATTTAAAGAAAAATGTATAAGCAGGAGTAAACTCTGTTTACTATTTTAATGCTGTAGTAATTCACRTAGATTTGAGGAAAATCTCATTTAGCAGAATGAATTAGTAGTCTGCACAAGAGAGAGCTTTTGCCCTGTATGATCAGCATTGTGTATTCAGATCTTTGCACTTCTCAATTCCGTTGTGTTATCCGAGTTACTGAGTGGGCAGCTTTGCTTCTTTGAAACTAAAGAAAACTTCAGAGCTATTTTACAGCGGTGGAGAATGCACTTTTGTTGTTTGTTGTAACAGGGACAGGAAAACCTCTTTCAGATATTGCGTATACAACTAAGCTTCTTGCAGGGGGAGTTATCAGTAAAATAATATTTCCATGACTGTAAAATGCTTATAAAAAAAAAAAATGTTCAGAATCCTTCCTAAGGGTCTGTAGCAATAGATGTGAATGTTCTTCATGTGGGTAACAGACTTAAAGGAGATTATTTATATCATTTGAAGTAATAAGGTGGTTAGCTTTCCTGTGTGGCTTGTCTCTGCTGTCAGTACCTTCTCTCTGCTGTAGGGAATGCTGTGCTTTTGGAATTCTCTGTCCATATTATCCTGTTGTGACAAGAGCAAGCTAGTGCAAACAGAAGAGCTGTCAAAACAGAAAAATTAAAAGATTGCTTGAAATTATCAGTTTGTTTAGTTCTACTGTACTCTGAAAGTGTGTGGATATTTAAGGAGACCGAGACACACTTGCTTTCATCTGATATGTAAATAAAATAAAACTGTTTTTGGTCAGTGGAAACTCTTGTTACATGCTGGTAATTAGTTCTAAAAGTGACTGCTTTTTTGCTTAAAGAGATGCAAACTATGTATGTTTTTTATTATTTAGGGAGACATTTATGCTAATTTTCTCATATAATGTAAATTATTTATTTAAATGGATTTCTGACAGATTATACTGCCAAATGATCTGCCTTTTTATGGTGGAACTTAGCTCTATTGAATTTAAATTGCAGTTTTACCTTAATTTCAGTGGTTGTAATCTTGGTGTTATTAAGTAAAATTCCCTTCAAATATAGTGCTTTTTTTTTTTTTTTTTTGGATTAACTTTGAAATAGGGAATTTTGCTTAATTGTGAAAACATCAGACCTGGGTGTGATATCTTTGATTTTTGTTTGCTTGTTTGTTCCTATAGCCACAGTGCTCTGTAACCTTTAAAGGTTTCTCCATAGTCAGTAGTTCTGATTGAGTTTTCTAAAACTGAACAAATACTGTGTATAATGCTGAAGAAAACGGAGGGTTGCTTTCATCCTATTTAAGTTTCTCTTGTCTTGGTTTATTTAAAGAAGACTTCGCCTGTAATGCATCTACTTAAGATAGTAGTAAGGTGATTCTGGATAATGATCATGAACCCTCCCCTCTTGTCCATTAGCTCTTGCTTTTGTGAGGGTTCTACGATTGCACCTAACCAATAAAAAGCCTGTCTTAATCTCTTCCTGTGTCTTTCTAATGGCAGTTTAGATTATTTAACACAAACCCCTCGTTTCCTCCTTTTTCTTTTTGGAATTTGCACAGTGGATTATATTAAGATTTTTTTTTTTTCTAATATGACAACCGCCGTAAAGTTTTGCTTTGCAGAGCAGCATGGGAGTGTGTAATTGCCTCTTTCACAAACCTTGTATTCCTTTGTAAAAGACTTGTTAAAAGTATTAAAACAATTTTACGTTGTGTTAGAAATCTATGCATCATCCTTTACGGTCTTTTTCTTTTTAGAATAAATTATTTGAAAATGCAGTATTTTCTCTTACTGATATGTTCTATGAAGTGAAATGTTTGCATCAAAATTAGAAGCTGAAAGAACTCAACTGTTCTGAATATCATCTCTTAACTTAAGTTTAGAATTAAAATTGAGGGTTCTCTCTTAACAGCTCTGGAAATGTGATTCTTTTCTTTAAGACTGCGTTTTACAAGTGACCAAACCAAAATGGTTAGCTACCAATCAGACAATACCACTCACGAGGCACAAAACACTAAGTTTATCTAAAATTAATTGAATCCTTTGACATTTTAAATTAGGGTGAGTGTATGAATCTCAGCTTTTAAGAAGCTGGTAGGATATTAAAACATGTAACGTGAATTACAGTTTTATTTTGCTTTATACTTCAATTATGTGTAGCTATACTGCTCATTTAAAGAATGTCATGGTTACTTTGAGTCATTTAGGATAAATTGTTATAGACTAAGTTGAATGGTGGGTTTGTTCTAAAATGAACCAGTACAGTCATTGCTCAAGGCAGAGGAAATGCTTAGGTTGATGATTGCTTCTGATTACTTGATTTCTTTCAAGATAACTACAGGGACTAACATTTGCTAGCAAGGAAAATGGATAAAGGAATGTTCGAACAAA